GATTGCGGCAACGGCGCCGAGCGGCAGTCAATCAATTGAGGCCGATGACACCGAACCCTACCGCGACACCGAGCCTGCTGTCAACTTCCCACCTCCGGCGCCGGTCGTGAGGTGCCAATTTCGCGATTGACGCTGCTCCAGTTTCCGCCGTCTGGGCACGCGGCGTCTGTGGTGCTGGTCCCCTTCCGGACGGGAGGTCTGCAATCCCCGGGGAAGCACCGGATCGGGGGATGCGCGCCAACAGCAGCGAGCGAGGATTGATGGGACGCTCAGGAAATTGGACGCTCGAATCCGGCGGCGCGCGCGAACGCGGATTGGATTGGCAAACGACAAGCAGTGGCCGTCCAGTCCGCCGTGTGCCGTCCGGGAATAAGGATGAGGTGCGCTGCGGCAACGTAAAAGCTGGGTAAAATTGCGGTGCGGCGCGGCGCAGTGTTCGCCGTCCGGAGGTCTTGGTCTTTTTGGGGGTTGCTGCTGGGAATAAACAGGCGATTGCGCAGCGAACGGGAACACAGCACGCAGCGTATGTAATGGTTGTCGTACACCACCAAGCCAATAAATTTGGGGTCGCGCGGGAATCTTCTGGGTGGGAAAAAGCGATGGGAATAAGGAGGGAAAAGAGAGACAGACGACGGGAGGGGGATTGGAAACATGAAAGAAAAAAAGAGGGGAAAAGAATTGGAAGAGACCGCACACTCACTGGACTGTGACTTGCTGCTGCTGCGGCAGCGGCAACCAACCTGTACCGCACCTTGCCTTGCCTCGTCGCTGCTCCTCTTTGCTCCCTCCAAGACCTGACGAGGAGCAGGACGGGAATCTCCCAACCTATTCCACACAGCGGCCGTACCCAGACGGAACGGAGCGCAACGCAACCTATGCAACGCGTGCACCTCACATGGGAATCCACAAGTCGCTGGACAGAGACCACTCAGTCAAAGTCCCAAAATCTACCTGGTAACCAATCCAACCCACGCCGCAGCAGACTGGACTAGCCACGGATGGGACCAGGCTATGAGACGAACAAGGTCCAGGGAAAAATAGAGAGATCACGCCAACGGCCCAGCTGCTGCTCCTCTCTACTAACGTAGTAGTCCATCTACATGTCGTCCCCGTCTAGCCTCGACTAACGACCCTCGAGACGAGATCAAAATCAGCCTTTCTTCAACAAGGTGCAGCCACTCAGCTTCCAGCCCAACTCTCGTCAAAGCCGTGTCATCTCTCTCTTGAATCATCAACCAACGAGCAGACAAAACCCCCTCGAGTCATCTAGTCATCCATGGCCGAAGGCAACTGCCGGCCGGTCAACGGCATGGCTGGATGGCTGGGGTTCCAATCTTGGTCCATCCCCCATTCTGCATAGGCGATCAGGAGCCGCTAATCGCACTCGCCGCCCGGGGGGTCAACGCCCGTCTCGTTCGACACGGCAGGTATCGCCGTCAACGACCTGATTTTATCCTGCTTTGCCTAGTCTTTCCTCCCGGATGTGTAAGCTTATATTCGTGCTAACAAGCAGGTCTTGACAGACGTTGGTTGACCCCAGAACTTGGCTTTCCGGGCGGTATGACTTGGCAAGCTCTAAACATGGTTCCTTCACATCACAGGACAATTGGTTCGCTGAACAAGTCATGTTGGTTCGCGCCGTCCACCGCGGCGTGCTCCGCTGGCCTCTTTTAGCTCAACGCGCGCCGGACTGATGCTACACACGTTTCCCCTCAGCTGCTCAATCGCCATGCCGGAATGTTATTGACCAGGCGATCATCTATGATAGTCTATCCTAGCCCTACGCATATTACATGTTGCGTGTGCTTGTGGGAGCAGCAACAAGAAGACCATAGCTCCCTCCTCGCTCTCGGTCTTGCCCCTCGAACAGCAGTCAAGTCAGCAAGCAGTAAGCTAGGTAGGTTGCCTGCCGGAAAGCTTCGCCTTCCATCGCACCGGGGTCGCGCACTTCTACCCGCCCACATCGACGTCACTGATGCGACGGAATCTGTTCCCCGAACTCCAGTTCAAAGGCCCCCTCTGAGCAACACTCGCAGCGTGCATCGTAACAATTTCTTCGTCACCTCCTGATCATATACACCAGGCCAATCCGGATCTTTCTCCCGCAAGGCTCCGGGATCCTTTCCTAACGCCCCCGTCCAAATATTTGTTGAGTCCTCTCCCTTCTCGGTCATTTGGCCGCCGGGTACGCTTCCCCGGCCGATATCGCCATGGGCCACCCCCTTGCTGGCCCACAAGTCAGCGCTACGGGGCCTGCATGCTCTGCAGCCCTCCGCCCACACCTGCAGGCATACACTCCATAGCTAGCCTTGCGACTGATTCTCTCATCAAGTAATTCATCAGCGCCGATGGTTTAGTGGTAAAATTCTCCGTTGCCATCCAGCAGCGTCGGGGAGCCGGGGGTTCGATTCCCCCTCGGCGCAACCATTTGTCTTTTGGCGATATTTGCCTCAAGCTTCGCTTTTTCTTCCAGAGAAATTCTTTTCGGATCTTTTTAGCACTGAAACAGCCTAGAGTTGTGTGGGTAGTAGCCCCATGGCTTTCCCAGCTTGGTGAGTTGCGTTACGACTCAGCAAGACAGGACCAATCATACTCTCAGCATCTGGCTTCCCTCTCTCTGTTAATCGGATCAACCTGCATGCACCTAACAGATGCGGCGATAATAGCGATCGATACCTTGTTTCTGAGTCACCGCCCTACGAAGCGCAGGTTTATACTCGGTCGTCTCAACTACCTGCGTTACATACTCAGAGCCATTTCATATAAGTTCTTGATTCAGGCCAGCCTGTACCTCCTACGCTCTTGTTAAGTCTATCACAACGATGGATCAGAACAATCATCTGCACACGATGCGTGCGGTAACGTGGAGTAGATACAGTCGAACAGGAAGGGTTGATGAAAAGGACAGTCGAGCCGAAGGGTCTACAGCGTTGGATAGGATGATCATGGTTCTCGGCTTGCATTGGGGGCATTGAATATATACACAGCCACCTCTACACCCGCTGGTTACCTGGGCTGGAACCTAACCTCTTCAAGTAGGGTGCTCCGGGCTGTCTGAGTGTGTGCAGTGTAGTCACCTTCATCTTCATCTTCACCTTCCTCACCTGGGGCGGACTCTTGTTCCACCTAGTCTATATAAGCCGGGTCGAAAGGCAAAGTAAAGCACCCAAGTGAAAGTCGGATCTGGTTGTTGTCTCTCTGGACCACTTGTCTCGATCCCATCTCGGACACTTGTCAGTAAAGGAAGACACAGTCATTCCATTGCCGAAACTGAGGAAGCGATCGTGCTTTTGTCGTTGGTTCCACCTTGTCTTTCCCACCCCTTTTTATCACTCAAGTATTTTAACCACAGATAAACGCAAGACGATGTCAAAATGGGGTTGCCAGGTACACTCGGACTCTCATACGTACGACGTCCATCTGGTTCGCGTCTCGAAGTTTCTTGCTATCATCCGAAGTGATCCATGCTTTATCAGCCCCCAGGCCCGATTTTCGATTGTTTGAACCAAACGAAGGAGCTCACTACCACTACACCCTTTTAAGCGCGTCTTGCTGAAGTTCACCTTAGGCCAGGGACTATGGGCGCGTATATAAATGCGAACCGTCCCTCGAAAGACTGGTTCACCAAGGCGGCAATGCCATAAGCAAAGTGCATGGTAGCGAGTCGGTAGGCTGGAAACCGATTCTAAGTCTTTCGAGCCCTTGCGTGGAGCATGGAAGTATCATCAAAGGGCTGGTAGCGCTGACTTTCGTGCACCACTGTCTGTCTCGCCTGGCGTCAATGTATCCGGGCTTGAATACGCGTACAGGAGTCTGAGTCTCTCCCAGTCAAAAGCTTTCGAGCTACACACGGGAAGACTGCGGTTTACCCAACCCGTGTTTAGGACAGCACACCATCAAACCAAGTGCTGCCGAATGTCTGGATTGTTTCCCCTGCTGCTGTCGCTATCAAGACGAAGGAGGACAAGATACCTTAACGGGGTCAGTCTGAAGAGCTGGGCCAATTGTGTATATAGGCTGCATCGTGGTATTGCCGCACGTCAGCGCTCATGAGAGGTCGGTTGATCAGAGCCTTTGTTAGCATTTTCAACAATGGAACGCCCAGACGAGTGGATTACATCTCTCAACATACGGGGCATGGAAATATCTTCCCAGGGTTTGATAGCGCTGGGTTTAATTCGCTGCTGTCTGTCTCGCCTGGCGCCGATGGATTCGGGCTTGAATACTCTCAAAGGAGCTTGGTGCTGCCTAGTTCATCGATGTCGTCGGTGACTTAGTTACCAAGAGAAAGACTCAAGACGATAAGCTTACATTTCTTAGCTTTGACTCTGCGAATCGCGTGAAAGCTGCTTACACTCTGTGTCATATGAAATCTCATGTAGCTATGCCGCATTTTTTGTACCGGTTTCCAAGTCGTCTAATCCTTTCGTTGAACTCACGTCGGCGATGTGAGTCACATGCACATGGTGAGTGCCCAGGTGGCACCACATGTATGTATTCAAATGATACGCACGAGTATATTCTGTGCCATATTGAGTATGGCTGGGGAGCATATAAGGACTGTTAAACGGAGCGAACGGAGTTGTGAAACCACAAATCTGTATCATCTAACTCGTCTGACTTCCCGTATTCTAGTTCTCTAAGGACTACCGAAAGATTAGACAGCTATCACCACGCTATTTAATTGAAAGGCTCATGGTGTAAGATCAGATTCAGACTCTGGGAGCTATTCGTTTCCATTGTCTCCAACATATTCATATGCTTGTTGTGATCTTATGCTTGCTGGAGCACTTCAAATACGGCTCAAGTAGATTGTGCTTGCTATGAATGTCACGACAATTTGACTTATGACTAAAGAATAAAACATGAACAAAAGTACAGCCGAAACTTCAACTTTCTCGACACAATGAAACACGTGCAAATGCTACTTCAGTATCAAGTGAGACCATGATCTATCCAACGCTGAGGGGAGTATCTCAAACCAAACAAAGCCCACGGACCTAATCAAACACATCAACAGCATACCTCACATTTCTCATACCCTCAAACCACTTCTTCCCCTCCTCAAATTCCATCCCCTTAGCCCCTTCAACACCGCCATCCAACAGAACCTTCACCAAAGCCTCCTCAACCGCCTTGCCCATACTCCGCGCCCCGCACACAAACACCTTAGCCCCCTTCTCCCACAACTTCACCACCTCCTTTTTCTCCCGCCACACCCGGTCCTGCACATACCTGCACCCCTCGCTCTCCCCCACCGCGCGCGAGTACGCCCTCCGCACACTCACCGCCCCCATCTTCTCCCAGCGGTCAAATTCCTCGCAGTACAGGTCCTCCGCGCCCGGCCGGCGGCACCCGAAGAAGAGCACCGCGGGCGCGAGGCTCCTGCCGGCCGCGATCATGGCCGCGCGCTCCTGCACAAAGCCGCGGAACGGCGCGAGACCGGAGCCCGCGGCGATCATCACGACGGGCGTCTTCTCAGGCTCCACGGGGAGGTGGAACGCCGCCGGGGACGGGCGCACTGCGACGTGCAGCTTGTCGCCCTTCTTCAGCGCTGCGAGGTAGTGGGTTGCGACGCCGACGTGGCGGCCCTGGCCCGATAGTGAGGGCGCGTCGAGGAGGGAGTATGTTAGTGTCGCCTGCGTCGGATTCCGTAGCGGCGAGGACGAGATGGAGCTGTTCATTCCTTGTCAGCATCATGACCTCCTCAAGGTAAAACCACAGACCGGAATGAAAGAACTTACTACTGCCTCACGCGCATCGGCGGCAGCATCCCCAAAAACGCCCCGATGCCCAGCTCGACCTCGAGAAACCTCTCCAGGAGCTCCAGCACAGTCACCCTCTTCACCGTGACCTCAGCGTGATAGCGCTCCTCGCCCGCGAGCGCCTCCAGCTCCCTCCGTGCCGCGGACCCTTCCGCCGCCGCCTCCGCGAGGCTCGCCACGTTGCGCTTCGTCGCGGGCTGCGCGAGCTCGACGTACGCGCTGAGCACGTAGACCGCGGACAGCGTCTGGTTCACCGGCAGCGCCCCGGCCGCGGCGTGCTTGTCGCCCGAGAAGGTCAGGCACGCGTCCCACGCGAGGCCGAAGCGCCGGAACACCCGCTCCACGCTCGCGCGCGGGTTGAGCGGCAGCACGGCGAGGTAGTCGCCCGCGCGGTACGACGTGCCCGGCGGGAGCTGCACGTCCATGTGCTTCTTGGTCCTGGCGACCTCCGACGGGGCGTGGCCGTCCTCGACGAGGATGGCTTCGTCTGCGACGACGGCTTCCTGCACATCCTGCCGCAGAGTTGACGTGCGCGGGTTCGAGACCTGCACCGACAAACCTCCCGACGCCGCCGCCACTGCCGCGTCCCCGTTCGCCGCCTCGGGCACGCCGTACTTGGCCGCCAGCGCCGGCCAGAGCAGCTCGTCCTCCCAGACCTCAAAGTCGCTAAACATGTCCCGTTCCGCGGCGTCCGTGAGGCCCATCTCGACGAGGCGGGTAGCGCCGCGCGCCGCCATGGTGTTGTCGACGAGCCGCGGGATGCGGTGGAAGGTCTGCACCCAGTCGTGGTGTCCGCAGCCGAAGACGGCGTAGCCGACGCCGTCGAGGGCCTTCTCGCCCTTCAGGCTCTCGAGCCAGAGGGTGAAGTGCGCGGCGTTGTCGGGCGGCTGGCCCTCGTAAGAGGCGGTAATGACGACCACGGGCGTGGTGTTGTTACGGGGCAGGTTGTCGCGCGCGGTGTCGAGGGGGTCGACGACGGCGGCGCGGAAACCGTGGGCGGGGGCGTCGGCGGCGAGGCGTTGAGCGAGGGCCTCACAGGTGCCGCTGTTGGAGCCGTAGTAGATATGGAGGGGCTTTCCACTGGTTGCTGTGTCGTGGCCGTTTGTCTGTGACGAGGCGGCAGCTGGTCGAGACGCCAGCGTCGTCGTCGCTTTTCCGGCGAGGCGGTGCTCCAGCTGCGTGGGCGACATGCCGTGCCGCAGCGCCGCGCGCATGTAGAAGCCCTTGGGCTTGATGGTCAGGGACTCGGCGATCTTGAGCTGGTAGTTGGGGTCGTCCATGGTGAAGTTGAAGTTCTGCAGCAGCATCGCCGTGGCGAGCAGGGCCTCCTGCCACGCAAAGGGGCGCCCGATGCACGCGCGCATGCCGTTGCCGAAGGGCTTCCACGAGTTGGGGAACTCCTTCTGCAGGCGCTCGAAGCTCTCATCGAGCATGCGTTCGGGCACGAAGTCCTTGGCCGAGTCCCCGTAGACGACGGGGTCGAGGTGCGCCTTGCCGAGGAGGCAGAGGATGGGCTCGCCCTGCTTGACGGGGTATTTACCGCCCAGCAGCGTGTCCTCCTTCGCCTCGACGCCGAAGGCCGGGATCGTGGCACAGAGCCGCAGAGTCTCGCGGAGGACCTGGTCCATCATCAGTATAGCTGCGGCTTTCACACCAAAGGACTTATCGCTAAGGGAGACTCACCGCGTTCAAGTAAGGCAGCTTGGTCAAGTGGTCAATCGTAATGGGACCCTGCCCGATGACGCTGTCGACCTCCTGCTGCGCCTTCTGGTACGCCGCGGGCTTCTTCAGCAGCTCGTAAAAGGCAAACGACAACAAGCCCGACGTCGTCTCGTGGCCGGCGATGAGGAACGTGATGAGGTTATCAATAATGCTCGCGTCCGTCATCTTCTGGCCCGTCTTGGGGTCGACGCCGTTCAGCATGGCAGCGAGCAGGTCCTTGCGGTCCGAGGGGCTCGCCTTACGCGCCTGCAGGACCTCGTCGGCGGTCTTGCGCATGAGGTCGATATCCGTAAAGAACTTGTGCTCTGTGCCGCGGAAGAAGTAGTTGGCGATGGCGGGGCGGCGGTCGCGGTTGCCGCACTCGGTGAGGGCGTCGCCCATGGCCGTGATGAAGGGGTGCAGCTCCTCGCGGTAGTACGAGTTGAAGCGGAAGTCCATGGCGCAGAGGGCGATGGTGTCGAGAGTCAGGCGGGTGAAGTCCTCGGTGGCCATGATGGGCGTGGAGGAGCCGTGGCGGGCCCATTTCATGGCCATCTGCGTCGCGATGTCGTGCATCTCGTCGAACATGCCGCGGATGGTGACGGGGCCGAAGGCGGGGATGAGGATGCGGTGGGCGATGCCCCAATTTGGCTCGTCGAGTTTTGCCTGGGGGATGCGTGTTAGTTGATGTCTGTCGTGTGGTTTGGTGAAGAGAGGGGAGGGGGTGCTTACGGTGAAGAGGCCATCGCCGGCGATCGATCTTACTTCCTGTATGTAAAAGTAAGAGGTTTGCTGTTTGGATGAAGAAGTGGTGATGGATAGAGGAAGACTTACTTTGAGGACGTTGTTGATCGTCTTTTGAAAGCGTGTCTCGTCACATACTTCGTTGACGAGAGCGTTGGTGGAACAGATGACCAGCGTCTTGCCTCCCGGGAAGCGTAACCTGTAAATTTCACCTGAAACAGTGAGCAGTTGGTTCGTTACTGGCCAGGGATGTCGTGTTTCCCTACCGAATGTGTCTGCCAGACGATGGATGTCCTCGAGAGGGTTCTCCGGGTTGAACTCTGCAATATGCCCCAGGAACGGAAGACCCCAGGGTTCGGGGATGGGCACTTCCTCCGGCATCACCGCAGACGGCATGGTGAAAAGATTCCACTGACGAAACACGCAATGGCAAGAGTATTCGGGCCGCTGGCTTCGTGTTGTTGTTGATGAAAGAACAATCAACGAATGTGTCTGGCGGGCTGTCGGACAGGACCAACGTCGCGCAAGGATGATGTGATGTGATGCGGTGGACGCAGAGAACGAGATGCTCGCACAAAAGACCCAGGGAACCCCTCCGCTCGGACTTGCAAAGAAACGTCGAGACCAACGAGCTCTGGTCGAATGGGCTTTTATCAATTAGCGTCGTGGTCCCTGTCGTTCGCCCGGGCTGATGGGGATGTAGAAGCGGAACAGCAGGGATGGCGGGCCGGAAGGACGCAGATGAATCTGCTCTGATGGGGGCCTAAAGCGGGCCCCCGGTGAGGCAAGCAACGGGCGATTCCCACGGAGCAGCATGCTGTAGAGCAAGGCTTCTTGCATCGTATGTTGGTGGTTGTGTTGGTGGTCACGTACCTTGAAGTTCTAACCGCTACACGGGATTGGTCGAGAGATGCGACAGTTCAGGTCGTCGATCAAGCTCCGGATTGGGGTTGGGGTACGATTTGCAAGATTGATGTTCGAAGACTATATTCGTCTTGTTGGTTCGGACGGTGCGTTTACCTGCGTCTAGAAGATGCGCCAACGTTGGCCGGAGGGCTACCCTTTATATCGAAGCATTTTTGACCAAAGCACGTCCAGGCCTCTGCTGCTTCTGGGCATCCCTGACTCTTGTCCGCAGTGGTGGGTTTGCATGCAGACTGTGGCTACACGACTCTTTGAGACACACCCACGCGCAACGTTCTTTCAAGCCCAGACTCTGGGGCTTGCAAAGTCCGCACGTTGTTGGCGGAGAAGTCCTGGAACCCGGCCGTAGTGCGTCCAATTGCCCGAGGACGACTTGCTTGCCCCCCGAATATAGTGCCTCGTACGTTTCGTGGTATTGTCCAAGACACGCGGGAGAGTTGACGATGACAGGATTCGCAGCCCCTTGGCTGGCGAATAAGAAGCGACGGGTTGCAGCAGAGGTTTTACGGGCTAACAGGGTGCGTTAGGCCGACGCTCCGCTCCGAGAGAAGGAATCGAAAAGACCGCCGCCGCCTGCAAAACACCGAGCGAGAGGCAGCAGCTGTGGTGAGCAAGTCCCTGCAGGTGGGTTTCCCCCGTATCTCGGCCGGTTCTCATAATGTTTCTTTCCATTGGCGGAGTTTCAGTGTGTGGTTTCCCTGAAGCTGTTCTCCGCTGGTTCTCCACGGCTCGTGCGGCGGCCCCCGGAAGAAAAGTCACGACGCCGGCTGATGTGAGGCCGTAGCGGAGCACCGAGGAGCACGAAGGCCACGGGCGGCTTAAGCTTATCCCGGCGTTGTTCGCCGTCTGGTTTCATTCGTCCCTTTCCCGACAGCAGCCAAAAGGTGTGGGAGGTCAACAACATGCCGCTGACCAAATTGAGTGCTGACCAAATTGAGTGCTGACGTGATGAGCCTAGGATGAAAAGCCCGGCGCACGAGAGTGAGGGTCAGCCCACAATTAATTTGGCGTGGGAAGACATCGATAATAAAACGGCGATCTGCGTATTCTCCTATGCCGGTGGGAGAGTTTGCTGGCCCCGTCGCTCGGCGGGCCTCGACAGGACCGCCGGAGAGATTTTCAGTCCCGGAACGGAGTGGGGCTGGCTGGTGTTCTCGGGGACTTCGAGACTGGACCACGGCGAAAGGCGGCCGGGTTGCCGCGGGAGGCCGAATGTGACGAACTAGAAGAAAAAGACGCCAGCCAAGAAATGTCCTTGCTGATTTCATGTATGGATCGTCGGGTTCATGAATCAAGACCAAACGCTTTCCGCCGTGTCAGCGGCTGTCGTCTCGTCAGGGTAAAGGTATTGCCAGCAGGCGGAATTCTCATTGTGGCTTGGTGGATGAGAACGACGCGATCTATCTGACCTCAGGCCTTTGATAAGTCCATATAGGATACTGTCCGTAAGAGGAACTACCTTATTCCAAAGAAGCCCTGCTACTCAGGCGAATATCATAGCCAACCGGGCAGGAAACTCTGTCTGTTTTATTCCACTTATTTTTCCTATTATCCTCTTTGAACCTGCCGTTTCTAGCCAAAGAGACGGGAAACGAATACACCTCAGGTACGATGGCTTGCAAAGCAAACAGCCGAGTGATCAAACCAAATTCTAAGGCGCTTCAGTACACCTCACAGTGTGATGGCGCTGCAAGCCCCACCGCGGGGTAACGCAATGGCGGGGTGAATTACTCGGCCAGCTCAATCGGGCGACCATCCACTCAACTTTTTGGCACGCAAGAAACACAACACATCCGCGACAGCTTCAGAAACACGTCCATCCACACCGACACAAGCCAATTTCCGACCATCCTCCTCCATCAACCTCCATCGCGCCCTTCTAAGAGGTCACACCACACGCCATGGCCGATGTCAAGGCAAAAGCTGAGGCTTTGGTCCCCAAATTCAAGCTCGACCGCGTCCTCAACCAAGGTAACCCGCCCACATCGTCTCCCATCTCTCACCTCGTCGATTGCTAACACACCACCCACAAAAGACCAAGCAGGCCGCCGCACCTCCCTCCTTGGCACCATCGACGCCCAGCCCGCCCTCCTGATCCTCGAACGCGCCCCCTTCCCGACCGACCCGTCCTACCTCGGCGCGACCCCGACGACCCTCTCCTCCATCGCGAACCTCGGCGCGAACGACGTCTACCACTGGTACCTCGCCAACACCGGCGCCAGCTCCTCTTCCAACAAATCAGACCCCGCCCTCGCCGACCTCAAGATCAACCTCATCTACCCCTGCACCGACACGCACGTCAAAAAGTACAGCAAGCAGGGCGTCCGCCTCGTCACCGAGACGCCGCACATCTACGCCTCCGCCGTGCGGCCCTTCATGCAGCGCAAGCGCGACGAGGGCCGCCTCAACTGGGTCTTCAACATCATCGAGGGCCGCACCGAGGTCGAGGACGTCATCTACCGCACGGAGCTGGGCGCCTCCGCCAACGACGAGGGCTTCCTGCTGCTGCCGGACCTCAACTGGGACCGCAAGACCATCGACGCGCTGCACCTGCTCGCGCTCGTCGAGCGCCGCGACATCTGGTCCCTGCGCGACCTGCGCCGCAAGCACATCCCCTGGCTGCGGCACATGAAGGCCAAGCTGCTCTCGGCGGCGGTCATGAAGTATCCCGAGGTCGAGCCGGACCAGCTGAAGCTCTACGTGCACTACCAGCCTACGTACTACCACTTCCACATCCACATCGTGCACGTGCAGCTCGAGGCGGGCGCGACGCAGGCCGTGGGCAAGGCCGTCGGGCTCGACAGCATCACGGAGACGCTCGAGGCCATGGGGGGCGATGAGGAGGCGGGCATGGAACAGATTTCTCTTAGCTATACACTAGGGGAGGCAAGCGAACTATGGACAGAGGTGTACGAGCCGCTCAAGCGGAGCGGTGCAGCTTCTCAATAGCGATGACGAGGTCGTTGACGCCCGAGCCGTGGGGGCAGTCCTTCCATTCTCCGCCGTCGCGGATGCAGTAGATTTCGTTGTCGAGGCGCACGGTACAACTCTTGGTGACGCCGGCCTAGTGGTCATCGTGGTCAGTATCCGTCTTGCACGAACTGAGGCTACGGGATGGATGGCTGCAGGGGGAAGAAACTTACGTCCTTGCTCCTCCGCACGCTGTCACGCAGCATGCCCAGGCCCAAGGCACCGTCGTCCTGGGTCGCGCAGTCGTTCAGTTCCTTGATGTCGATAGCATGCTCCAGAGCGCAGTCCTCCACCAGCGACCGCTCAGGGATGGCCTGGTACTCGCGGGTCAAACACATGGTGAAGCCGAGATTGATCTTGGGGTCGGGATAGAGGTGTGCGGCGCAGAGCTCGATGATGTTTCCCATGCCTACAGAGAGATCATTAGAGCATGTTCTTAGAAGAAGCCGGGCGTATAGACTAGACGTTACATTCAGACGGGCCGTGCTTGCAGTCGATTCCATCGTTCTCGGTCGGGGTTCCAATGTAGGACAGGGTGAAGTTGACCTTTTGGTACGTCTTCATCATGGTCGGGAGGACCAAGTCCCTCAAGCAATCCTGCGCCGCAGCCGTCAGCACCCTATCTCCAGACTTGCCAATAGCCAGCTGCGACCACTCACCCTCGCATCAGGGCATTTGCTCATGATGTGCGCCTCCAGCGGCACCAGCTTAGCGTTCTGCTCGACGAGGAGATCCTGCTGGGGGATGAGGCGCGCGCGGGGGATCGCCGGCTGTCCCACCGCATAGCCCCAGAAGCCGTAGAAGAAGACGAGGACCACGAGAGCGACGGGCCAGAGGTTCTTCCTCCGGACGAGCCGTCCAGACATGTTCGGTGGTGGAGGTGCGTTGGCGTTGGTGGTGTAGTAGGCCTGCTTCTCGTCCATGACGAATATCGTATCTGGGGGGATTTTTGTTATCGGATGGGGGCGGAGTTCGCGTCGGGCTTTATTTTCGGCGTTTCGTGTTGATGAATCGTTCGTGGGATACAAGGCAGTCGAAAGTGTATGGTGTTTTGGAGAAGTTCTAAGATCATCCCTAGACACAAGAGCTGGTGACGAAATGGAATGCAAGCTTGCTTAGAAACAAAAAGCTACTTGCGTCCAAGTCCCCTCCCCGATCGGAGGAGCAGAGAGTTTGGGTTGTTGTCGCGAGGGGGCCCCGTTGGAATTGCGACAGCCGTGCAGCGAGCACGGCAGCGGCACCTCAGGCCAAACAGCGACGTTGGAGAGCATGTCAGTGCTAGCTGGATGGGGAAAGGGTGCATTGCACTACGACGATACCTTGTATTGCGTGAGATTCCCGTGTTGGAAGATGTACCTCCTTACTGCACAAGTGAGGTGCTGCTTCTCCAAGTGGCCAAAGCTCCATTTCAGCAGCAACGACGGGCAACAGCGGGGAGCCTGCGTACCTGCCCACTGGAGGCTTATCTTATCGGCTGCTGGGTAAGGTGCCTTAGGTAAGGCAAGGTGCCTCGTCGTACTGTTGTTGCATTCGGCGAGCAAGCTGTGGTCCAGTACCTACCTGATGCAACAGTGCGAATCTGGGTTTCTTTAGGTAATCTTCACCGTACGGCGGCAGGGATTTGAGGTTTGCAAGCTTCCATCTGATGTCCAAGTCGAGACGAGAGATGCCTTCTCTTCAAGACCTGAGTCGATGTTGACCATCTGCAATTACTCTGACAAGAAAAGCTATCGGCCAGCGGCAAGAGTCATGCAATTGCAAACGTCAGCGAATCACCTTACATAAGAATGGAAGGCACACACAGTGACCCCGTCAGCAAGACACAGTACGCAGTGGACATTCATCCACTTTCTCTCGCTCCTCACCTCCACGCACGACGGAGAAGAGAGCAGCAGCAGCGCATCACGGCCGAGTGTAACGTGCCCCTACTATTACATGCAAACGGGGGCCAAAAAATTCCCATCGCTACTTATTCTTCATCTAACAGCTTGAGGGAAATTCTCCTTTTCTATTGTTCCTCCGTTTCAGAAACAATCTGCAGTCACAAGAAAGAAGCTTCCTTTTCCAAAACAGACAACCGCTAGACCACCTAGCTGACCCCCAGACGTTGATAATCCACATGCTACCACCACACCAGATCACGCCAGGAAACACCCACCCGAGGAGTGAGACCCGGGAAGACTAAGGCGAGGAAACAGCAGAAACGCCTCATTGTCTCCTCCCGCATCCCGCCTAACCGCCTGACCTGACCTCGACCTGGACAACACCAAAACCACTCATCAACACAGCCATACCCTGTTCGTTTGACCACATACGCACGCAAACAACGCAAACATGGATCCCGGCTCTGCGCTGCAGGACTTCCTGCAGCCGCTCCGGGTCGACAACAAGACAGTCCACACACTGTCCCGCCTGTTTTACTCCAATTTCAAAGACCTCGCCCTCAACGCCCACGATCAATTCCTCCCGACACCCATTTCCGAGTCAATTCTGAGACCCGTAACCCAGCGTGGTCATGGAAGGTGTGTCCATGTCTTGTCGCCCCCTTGTGACGTCTCCCACGCCTTCGTCATGTAGCACCATGTTGGGCCGTTGGAACGTATCACACAACCGTCTACAGACATCTTCCAAAGTTTCACCAACCGCTGACATGGGACGACAGACACCTTGCCATAGACATGTACGTCCTGACTGCGCTGCTTATGCAGCACCGTCACTCATCAAGAGCATTCTAAGAAAATCCCCGTTTGGACGTGACCCAAGCTAACCCTCACCAGCGGCGGCACAAATCTGAGAGTGGGCTTCATCGAACTCTCTGGCGCAGAAACACCGTCAGCTACCGCCAACTCCGCACCCCAGACGAACGGCAACTCGTCGACTCCGACCCTGCACCTCAAAGAGCAGGCATGGCCTATAGACAACGCCCTCAAAGCCTCGTCAAATTCAGACCCCCAGCTGCTCTTCGACTGGATTGGCTCCTGCATGGCAACAGTCGTCCGCTCCGCCCTCGAGGAATGGCCATCTCTTGCGGCGGAACCTGAGCTGCCGCTCGGCATCACCTTCAGCTTCCCAATGGTCCAGCACTCCATCTCCGACGCCACCGTCATGACAATGGGCAAAGGCTTCAGCATACAGGGCGACGCCGAGCTCGGCCCTTTGCTCCTACGAGGCTATGACAAAGCCCGCAATGCGGCTGATGATGTCCAACTACCACCAATTCGCATCGCCGCAATCTCAAACGACTCGGTCTCAACACTCATCTCATACATATTCCTTTCCCCGCCAACGACAAAGGCCTCCATGGGCCTGATCGTCGGCACCGGCTGCAACGCCACCATTCCGCTTAAACTCTCCCTCCTCGGCGGCTCCAAACAGCCCGCAAACATTAGCCTCCTTCCCGGCGAATCGGCAAGCGACGTACGCATCGCCGTGAATACGGAATGGTCTATCCGCGGTACCGCGCCCCCTCTGCGTGAACTGAAGCTCATCGCCACCTGGGACTCTGCACTGGACGCAGCCCTGGTAGGCCCCAATGAGATCACCGGCTTCCAACCTTTGGAATACATGACGGCAGGCCGGTATCTGGGCGAGCTGGGACGTCTGATGCTCTTAGATTACCTCAAGACCGTTTTGGGAGTCAATGAGGACTCCCTCCCATCAAGGCTCCTCGTCAGATACGGTCTCACCACCACGTTCCTGAGCCACTTCAAGCCCGTACACTCCCCAGCTCTACTTCCGAAACTGGAGTCAGAGTTCCCAGCTGACGCCTCTTCACCTTTCAAATGGACGGAAGAAATGGCAACAGCCCTCTACCACATCGCGAAAGCAATCGAGCTCCGCGCCGCAGGTATCGTTTCTGCGGCAACCGTCGCTCTCCTCAGACTCGCCGGGGACCTTCCCTCGGACGGCACGCCTTCCAAAGTCCCGGAGCTGGGCGTTGGGTACACGGGCGGCTGCATCTCGCAATTCCAGGACTACCTCGCGGACACGCAAATGTTCCTCGACGAAATTATGAAGCTGGACCACGACGGTAAGTTATCCACCAGGGTTGTACTGAGTCCCTGTCACGACGGTGGCATCAAAGGCGCAGGTATTCTGGCGGCTGCGACGTGCGTCAGTCAGAAGCATGACATCTAAAGATCGGAAATACATTTATGGAGAAACGAGAAAGTCCACTTAGCATCATTAAGCGTTCGAGTGGTTGGTTCCAAGGGTACATGATACAGTAAAGAAAGAGAGGTACACACAACTAGCCACGGCGGTTGATTGAGTTACACGTGCTTCATTATAAAACTAGCACAGGCTCGTAGCAGTCAAGTCAAGTCCGTCAATATCAAAGGCACACACACAGACATTTCAAGACGTCATTATAGCAGTGAGAGAGACTGGTAGAGGAGAGGTGAAGGAGTTGTATTCATAATGACAAATCGCCAACTGTTTCGCTTTGGATATTTGAAGCCGGAAGAATCTCCGTGCTGAATGAGAAACCACACCAACGTCGTCAAACCCCGCCTGCCGCCTGATCGACCATCCCGCTTCAACCACCGAGTAAATAAAAACCATGACTTTGTAAAACTCCTCGTCATTAAGCTCAATTCTTTCCAATCATCGTGAAAGAGATGAAAAAGATAAATGGCAAAAGAATTTGTTTCTCCCACTCTCCGGCAGGTCCCGGTAAGATTCTCCCTACAATGCACACACACACACACACACACACACACGCATACACAACCATTCGCCCCCTTCGCATGAATAACTCAAGTACAACCACCTCCCAGCACCCCAACCACCCTCTTTGCAATGCAACTGAAGCGATGGTGATGAAGCAGACGCTATGCTATGCACGTGTTTTCGATTTTTGTTTTGGATGTCGTCAAGGAGGGGCACTCTCGTCCGGTCCCCCCCACAGTTCAGATGGTACTCCCCTCTCCGATGCTTTTGGTCCCAATGCTCCCCCTCCTCTCTTCCCCGTTGAGGCC